TTAAATTTATTGAATTTAATTATATCCGTAACATTCTTATTAAATGACCTTTTCATTAATTTTTTAATATAAAAATATTTGTTTTTATTTTGCATTTTTTACCAGTAAATCAAACAAAAATTCAACATACTTAACTACTTTTAGAAAGAAAAATACAAATTTCTTACAAAAAAGAAAATTTTATTGTCAATATATTTGTTATGGATAACATTGTCACAGAAAAGTATTAACTTTGTGGCAAATAATGGCATTTTTAAATAAATTTTGCTATGTAAAAGGAAAGTTTTCAGAAGAAATGTGTTAAAAATTAAGCTTAACAAAATATTAAAATTAGCCTTATGGAGAGAGAATTTGTAAAACTTGTAAGAAGAAAGACTGGAAAAATCAGATAAATAAATTATTTAAATCAAGTGAAATTAAAACTTTATATTATGGTATGAGAAGTGGTAAAAATTGAATATAACTTTTTAATTATTAGAAACAGAAATACAGATTATGCAAAGAAAATAAATGAAGTTTGATCCTTAGTGGATTTGCATTCATGAATATTAATTTAGCTTCAAGTGAAAAGTATTAAATTATCTTCCAAGTAACAAGACCAAGATCACTAAATTACATTTTATTTTATTTTATTTTTTTATTTTTTAATAAATTTTGCACACAAAAAGTTTGTTCTTGCAATGAAAATATAAGATAATATAGCAAGTTGGAAGGAAATAAAATAAATAAATTTTATATGTGCTTCAATTAAATAAGCTAAAATTATTCCAAGTTTAAAAAACAAAAAATTCTTAAGCTAACACAAACCAAAGCTAAAATGTTGCTCTCACTGAAATGACAGATAGGCCTCCAGCTCTGGCCTCTCAGTTGCACTATGCACTCAATATCAAGGATACATTATATGTAAAAATAAGCAGTATCAAATTGAATAGTGGCAGTCATCATTATGAATTAAACTCAAAGCTGATAATGATAGTACACACAATATACAAAACCAATAAACTAATAAAATCACTGAATGACTTGAATATAAATGTTTAAGCTTATGACCCATCCCTTAATACCTACACAATAACTATCATGAACAAGAAATAACCATTTTTTCATGAATCCTATTCAATAGCTGTTAGAATAACACCATAAACCCAAAATAACTAGCCTTCCTACCTATAATCTTCTATGTAGTCAAGATACTCTTCCCCTCACATGGCTTGGCACTTATAGTTAAGCATGAAATGAATTATTACTTTTATTAGAAATCAATGTCCCACACTGATCATTCATTCATTCATATATATATATATATATATATATATATATATATAACCTGAAATTCTTCAGATGAAGTTTTTTATAATTCTTATAAAATTTGCATCTGTAGTAATGGGGAATTTTGGATACTGAATTATTTTTATAAGTTTGTTGTGATTTATTTTTTTTTATGTTAATTAGAGAGGGATTCATTCTTTCTATAAAAAATAAAAAAAATTCTGTACATTTCATATTATTGCATTAACAAATGGCACCAGTAGGATTGTTTCAATTTCATTGTTAATACTATTGAAAGTTATATGATGCCAGTGTTCATTAATGGGCTTGAACTCTCTCTCTCTCTCTCTCTCTCTCTCAAAAAAGAAAGAAAAAAAATAAGTTTGGTTGAAGCTCTGTTTAATTGAAAATAATCCCTCTGCTGTAAATTTACTACTATGAAAGCTTCAACAAAGAGGAGAAAAATAGATTGACAGTTACGGATTGTTTAAGAATGATTCATAACAAATCTTCTAAGCAATCTTAATTAGCACTTAAGCACAAAGCAGAAAGAACAAATTCACATTGTGACCTTGTGGCTGTGATACTAATTTTGCTATTCTAAACAGACAGTGTGGTGTTTCTTTCTGTTCTTTATTAGTGTTGGGCTGTGATTGTCTGCAATGTTCTCTTGATAGTATTTCCAGATACATTAACCTTTCACTGATTACTCTTAGTTAAAATTGAAGTTAATCTATTTCATCAGATATCAAACAAATTTGTCAACTATAAAGTACAATTCTCAACTTGTTTTTACTTCTCCTGTTTTTACTAATAGATGTTAAATAAGATTATAAATAAATAGATGGCTATTTATTATGATTTGAATACTTTTCATCTCTCCATGGTATTTGATGAGAGGATATTGGTCTCAATGAGTCACCAGAAAGATCATTCATTTTAGCATATAGAATGAAATATATCTCTGTGTAAACAATTTCAAATACTACTACACTGATGCTGACTTCAGTGATGCAATTATTTTCTGATGCTTTCAGATTACAACTGTGAAAAATGATGAAATCGCTGCTGTAGTGGGAGGATTGGTTGATGCGGAAGCTATGATGGCACTGAAAGATTTCCTTAACAGGTTAGGTAGTGAAGCTCTCTGCACTGAAGAGATCTTTCCTATGTCTGGAGCAGGGTAGGTTATATTTTTTATTTAATTCTGTGAAGGAAAAAAGAATCTCTCAACTTGTTTATAAGAAATTTTGTTGTGTGTGTAGATAACTTTCTGTGTTAAACAGTCTTGGAATTAAAGAAAATCAACACACTTCCTTTTAAAAAAAAAAAAAAAAAATATGCATGTATAAAGTTGCCCAAATCCACTCCAATTAAACACCTTAAAAGAATTGAGAATTTATTGGAAACAGTTTTTGAAAAATATTATTAGCAACACTTTATCAGCAAAATCAAAGACTATAATAATTTACTCAGTCAGTCTCTTCACTTGAATATGTCGAAGTCTGTTCTGCTCATTTGAATTTACACATTCTGAGAACTGACATGTAGAATCTTGATGGGTTTTCTTTTCCAGCCAATCTAGTTTATTCTCTAGTTTCCTGAAAAACTCTGGCACCAAATAGAAATTTGTCAAGTTCTTTTTCTAAAAACATTTTTCCTATTTTAAAGTTTTTTAATGTTAAGAAACTCTTTACAAAAATAACATTTCAGAATTCTTATAGCCTTTCTTAAACATTAGCAGTTTCATGTAGACAATATCATCAGTGTAGATTCATTTGTCAGTCTAGCTGGATCCTGGAGGAAATGATGGATTCTATTGCTAAACTGAGTTGATTTCAGATTTGAATATTCAATTCACCCTTTGCCAATTATTTTATTTCTCAAACTTCATATTTTTTTTTTTTCTTGGTTTACTTCATTTGATTTTTTCCCTTATTGTTCTATGAGGTCTGATGATAATCAAATGCTTTGTTCAGATATCATTCTTAGACATCTCCCATTGACTTCTTGCAATGTGTCTAGTAACTTTATTGATTATTGGGCAATGTTTAAACTTTGGACCTGCAAAAAACTGTGTCAAAAAGAGTTTTTTTTCTCTTGATACCACTATACTCTCTTAACTCCCTCAGAAATGTTTGTTTAAAAAAAGCTATGTTTAGAATTTTAATAATTACACACTATTTAGTTGTTAGATTGTTTATTTGAAAGATTAATTTTATATTTACAAGATTATAAAAATGTGAACCAACTACGTCATATTCATCATTCCATAATATCATTCTTAATTTATTCTCATGAAAAAAGAATGTTCAGTATTATAAAGTCATTATCTCAGATATTAAAAATTACTTTGTTCATCTTTTCTGTTTTGTTAGATTAGGTAAGCATTTTGATTTTTATATAGTTTTTAGTGTCACTTTCTATTTGAAAATTTACATTGTGATATATACCTGTAACTATAATTGGAAGTCACAGTGAAATAAGAATGCCTTTAGTGGCACACTCATTCAGTACTATTACTAAAGTTACAACCCACAGGTCAGGCTGAAAATCATACAGCATGACAAAAGTCAAACAAAAACATACAATATATCAAGTTTTAGGTTACACTACAAATCTTATATCAACACAAAATTTCTGACATAAGAGCTAGAATTGACAGTCAAAGCCCACTTTATTATATGCTGTTCATCCTTCAAGCAGTTGCATTGCTTCCTCAATAAACAGCAGCTGATAATACTTATTTCATCTCGCAGATCCCCTGCTACTCCTTATACATTGGATGCCTGCTCTTTCTGCAAGAAAAGTAACCTAACCATTTTTACTTACCTGGTAGTCCCATCAGTTCATACATCTCACAGTCAGTGCCCAAACTCACAATGCATGAACAGCTGGGACAAGTACTCTCCCCACTGCACACACATATTTATTAAACTGTTGTGTCCAATGCAACACTAAGTTAAAAATTCTGAACCCAACAGATCTGTTATTCTGCAAACACTTCAAATATTGTGTAGTTCAATTGAAAAACCAGCACTTCCAAATGTCTGATGAAATAGTCTCATTGCCTTTTGCAAATTTTATGACAAAATCTCATGCTGCTCATTTCAGCACTCATTTTGAAATGAGCCAAGGATCCATGGAACTTGAAACTCATATTCAAATATTTTAAATACAATGAAAAAAACCTTTTGAAATTTCATGAAAAAGTAAATCATTATTTTCAATTTTAAAAAATAGCTTATCCAGTAAACCTGTTGAAAAATAGATGTCTGTAATTTTCAAGAAGTTCATAAAAGACAATATGCTATAATGTCTGTAGTTCAATATTGTTGCTTGCCAGTGTATTCCAACCTTGTTAAAATTATGACTGGCTCTTACTGTCAGTGAATGGGATAGATTTTCTATGAAACTTAATAGATATGCTTTTGATATTTTAGTAATGCCAAAAGTGAAAATTGTTTTTTTTTTTGTTTACCCTAACTCATTAAAGAAATGATCCTTTTGCTTTACTCAGTTTTTTTTCTTCATTTTATTGTTCCTTTGCTATTTGATTACATTTCTTTCTATTTTCTTGCATACAATTTAAAAACTATATTATATTTTTTTTTTTTTTTTTTTTTTTTTTAGGACAGATCTTCGCTCAAACTACTTGTTGAATACTAAAATAGCTGGTGTTGAAGAAGCAGATTTAGTGCTTTTAGTAGGAACCAATCCACGTTATGAAGCTCCTCTATTCAATGCCAGACTCAGGAAATGGTAATTTGATTTGCTTTGAATCTTTGATTTTAACTAAAATTTGCTTAACTCAAGTATATAGAAATGATATTCTTTTTTATTGTATGCATTAACCCTTAAATTAAACTGAGATATATTTTGAAATATCATGTTTTGGGTGTCTCTAGTAGGGGAATAAATTTTCCACAATCACGGAATCATGGACTTGTTAATCTTAAACAGAATCTGGATTTTTAATGTAATTTTCAATAATAAATTATTATTATTAGTTATTTGATTTTTCAGATTTTTTTTTTTTATTCTTTCAAAACTTAATAACTGTCTCTCTGATTTTGTTAAACATTTTAATATAACAATAACGTAACATAGTTATTTCCTTAAAATTTGTTTTTACAAATCTTTGTATGTATTCACCTTATAAAATCCAAGAAATAATTAAGAACAAAAATGTTTACATAAAAAAAAAAGAAAAGTTGGTTGTCATTTTTTTTTTTTTTTTTTTTTTTGAGATTTTTGGCTAGTCTATTTTTAAATATTTTATAACTTTTTTAAACTGTATATTGCAAACAAGATGAGCTTGGTCGTGACCACCAAAATCTATTGCTAAAGTGGAAATGGACGACAGACACTAGTTGATGTCAAAATTGGAGAGGAGAGAGAGAAATGAAGATCAAACCAATAAATTTAAGAAATTTCATTTAAATGCATTGTTTTATAAATAAGGGAAAAAAGTGAATGATGCGTGCCTATAAGACTTTTTTTAGAAATAAAGAAAAAACAATTCTCCAAAAACACCATTCTATGAAATGACTGGCTTGTCTAAACTTATCCCTTACTGTCACAGAGCGATTCTCCCGGATTAATAATTGCATCATCTTCAGTGCTTCACCATTGTAAACAAATTTAAATTGAACAAAAAATCCTTTAATAACATTAACTGTCAAGGATAATTTTTTTAATATTTTATTTATATTTTGTAATCTAAACCAGTTGTATGAATAAACAAGAAATTGCCAAGATGACTGAATCAAGTCAATATAGTGAATCTACCTCAAAAGATGAGCCTGCTCCTCTTAAAAAAAAAAAAAAAAAAAAAAATTACCCCAATATTCTTAAAACTTTATAAAAGCCGGGGAATAAAGATGGAATTGGTGGTCTAATGCAGCTGAGAACATATCACTCATCCTTTGTACAGTTTTATGAAGGATTCTTTAAGCAGGGGAAAAATAGCCATGGCCTTTGCTGTAGATAGGATACTAAAATGGGCAAGTTTTTAATTGATACATCATGCCTCTTATTATAATTTATGCCTAAATCAGCATTTTATGAATGAGAACTGCACTCATTTAATAACAGCTTTGACAAACTTAGAAGAAACTAAGTCTCTGCTTGCATATGTTTTATATAACATGATGGGAGATGTAAAACAGTATTTGCATACTGGTAACATCAAAATCAACATTTGGTCTAGAAACTGATCATCTTCTGTCTGAACTAGAAAGCACAGAGAGGGAGAGAGTTATCTCAAATTTCTTTTTCAAAACTGAATATATACCTGGATACCCACCCTGTGTATAACTTTTACAAGGCCTGTTTGATCCTAGACAGCTACACTTTAGACAGTTTTGTAGCCATCAAGGACTTGCAAATTCCTTCTATTGATCTTGAAGGATTCCAAATGTTTGTGAATTACCAAGATGATTTACCAAACCCTTTTAATATCCCATCATTTTGGAATGCAAATAAGAACAGATTGCCAATAAGGTCACATGGATGCCTGTTACCAGCATATATGCTGAATGTTCATTTTCTCAGTTAAAATTTACTGTATAAAGAGAACATTAAGCAACTCACAATGTTGTATTATAATGGAGATTTAGAGAAGAGATTAGAAGATTAGATATTTCCCAAATTAAGAAATTAGCAATTTTAAATTTGAGTATTATTTCAACTTGGGATAAGTTGTTTTATTTAAATTTTGAATTAATATGTCTAATTTGTTTTTTGATATATTTTTTTTACAAAGATCCAATTATTATAGTTTAATTACTGTTTTGTAAAATTTTACTCTAAATGTTTGACTTTATTCAGATATTTATTATTGAGATTCAAATTATTTGCTGTTGATACTTTAAATGTGATTTTCATATTATGAATCAATAATTATAAATCGATCTAAATACTTTTACGTAAAAAACAAAAGCAATTTGAATGTGTTCTTAAAGAAGGAAGCTCTGATTAAAAGTTCTACCTCAAAGATATGCACTGTAACATTCCATTGTTTTATTGTCTAGTCAGATTTGTAGATATTTGCTATTTCTTTATATGTAATAAAATTTTGAATTATCTTTTTGTTTTCAGTTTTAATGATAATTATAGCACATTGTATTGCAATTTTCTCATAAAATACTATAAAATGGAAAAAATGAAATTTCCCAAAAGTAAAAATGGAAAAAACTCAAAGAAATTTGAAACACAAAATCGAGGGTCCTACTATAAATTAAAATATATTGATATACTTATCATTGATAAGAGATATCTTTTCAATCAGTGCTTCTCAGAATGAGTAATACAACCTCATGTATTAAGGGAATAGATAGAGAAGAATTCAAAGATAAAATATCTGAGATTCTAAATGAAATAGAAAATAGAAGAATTGTGCCTATTTATTAGTGAAATCTAAGTGTTTTTTTGTTTTGTTTTTTTTTAATGTGTATTGTCAAAATATTTAATTAATGTAATTTGTAAAATTGTATTAGTGTGTGGACCATTTACTTTTCACTTTCATTTTAAGTCTGTTACATCAAGCATAATGAATTCATTAATTAATTTTTTCTACTGCTGCTTAACTTTGTGAAACGAATTTTCCCTCACAGTTGGATTCACAATGACCTTGAAATAGCACTTGTGGGAGCACCAGTGGATCTTACTTATGAATATGAAGTAAGTTCAATTTTAGAAATGTCTAATTTTTTCATTATTTTTTTTCTACAATTATCAGTTTTTAAATAAATTTATTCAGGAACAAAATTGAAATCTGCAAACAAAATTGATTTACAGACAACTTAGTTTATTTTTATTTTTTACTTTTTTTATTAAAACATTTGAATAAATTATTTTTCATTCACATGCATTTTCTTTTTTCTTTTTTCTTTTCTTTTTTTAACAGAAAAAACAAAACTCAGTTTCTTTGAAATTTTGAATTTGTATTTTCACCAATTCTATTTTAAAATTGATTTATTAGAGATATGAAAAGCTGAAAAACATTGTTTTCCTTTTAGCATCTTGGAAACTCACCACTTGTTTTGCAAGAAATTGCCAATGGAACCCACCCTTTTGCGGAAGTAAGATATTTTAAAATTCTTTACTATATAGAATTATCTTTTTGCTAAAACGAATAACTTGGCTAAGTTTGGATATGTTTTGTCCAGGTTGTAAAAGGAAAATATATATTTAGAATTCATGTGATAATATTTTCTACATACATGTGAAAGAATGTGCAATACCCTGCCCTCGTCAGCCGCCAACCAGGGGAGGTAACACAGTTTCGGTGGATAAGGCGGTACCACCGAAACTCTGTTACCTTCCCTGGCTGGCAAAATGTAGTTTTAAGTCAAATTGTCTTGAACTTTTCCTTCTGAAGTCATTAGAGGTGACAGAATAGATGTTAAAAAATCACAGAATTAGAAAATAAACATTTATTATGGTCTAGGATTTTAATACTATTGAAGTGAAACAACCTTCAACAAAGTTTATTCACACAAATAAAATATCATTTTGCAATCATTATTTTTGTTTTGAACACCCTTTTCCAGACACTAAAATCAGCCAAGAAACCTGTTGTAGTAATTGGTAGTGCAACACTTCAGAGGGAGGATGGTGCAGCTATTCATGCTGCTGTCTCAACCATTGCCCAGAATGCTCGTATGCTATCAGAATGTGGAGATGACTGGAAAGTTCTTAGTGTTCTGCACAGAGTAAGTAAGATCAATTTTAAATTTTGAAAGAGTTATATCACATCCTCATTTTTCTATACTGAAAAGCTGAAAACAATGATAACATATGGTGGAACCCATCAAATTTTATTTATTCTGCAAAAGTCTGATGTTGGGTGCATCTCACAATTGCTTGATCATAGGATTATGTAGCTATTGTAGACAGGCTGAATGTATGACATGTACGAGTGTAGATTAGGGAAATGAAGAAAAGCTATTAAATACTTCAAAAAGAATAAATATAGTTAATAAAGATCAATAATTTAAGTAATAGTTAATAGTTAAGTTTAATAGTTGAAAATGCTTCAACTATTTTTAATCTGTCAAAGTAAGAGAAACCTTGACTTCATCTAGCTAGTCAGAAACAAATTTTTGAATGCAAATGTGCATACAGGCAATAACAATCAAAGCTATGTTTTACTTCATTTTAGGAATAAGGATTTCACACAATTTCTTATGCTAAATAGTTGCTGTGTGTAAGAGAAATTTTACAGTGCAAAATATGGTACTTAAATTCTTTTCAAATGAAATGTTTTTTGAAACACAGTAACATTTGTTCTATTATTGACTCAAGCAATTTTTTCTTTTCTTGCTTTGCAGGTGGCAAATCAAGTAGCTGCACTTGATCTTGGCTACAAGGCTGGGGTGTCATACATCAGGGAAAATAAGCCTAAAGTACTTTACATGTTAGGAGCTGATGAAGGAGCCATAACTAAAAGTGATATTCCTTCTGATTGTTTTGTTATTTATCAAGGTTAGTTCATATTGATCATATATGTAAATTCATTGTTTGAATTTAAAGGGCCAAAAAAATAATTTTGGTTTATTAAGTAAATTAGTCATTTTTTTTTTTTTTAATTATATAATATTTATTTTCAAGTAATATTTTGATTTGACTGCTGTTTATCTCAACTGGATTATTTGATAAGAAATCACCAACCTGAAATTTAGCAAACCACTTTTGACTTATTGGATCATTCACAACACCTTCCTTCAGATGCCTAAAAGATTGTTTATTTCATCCTTTTACAATGTTATAATCATTAAACAAATCTAAACAAAGAAAAACTATCTTTTTGAATGAAGTTCATTTAAGCTAAGGTCATCTCATGAGGAAAAACAGAGTTTGGAGCTTTTTGGCCAATCCACTATTTATATTTTCTATTTCTCTCATTCCTCAACTGTAATGGGAAAAGTACATAGAGAATTAGCCTCAATTTTACCATCAAACAACAGATTTTTAGTTAAAAAAATTTGTCTAATGGAAAAAATGCTCCAAACATTATTTGATTGTTTAATAAGTTTTTTTTTTTTCTTCTTCTTCTTCTTTTTTAAGCAAATGGATTTTAAATTTCTTATTATTAATGAATATTGATTTTTCTTTTAGGTCATCATGGTGACGCTGGGGCTCAGATGGCTGATGTTATATTCCCAGGTGCTGCCTACACGGAGAAAGATGCCACTTATGTGAACACTGAAGGCAGAGCTCAACAAACCCGACTTGCTGTCACACCTCCAGGGATGGCGCGACAAGATTGGAAAATTATACGAGCATTATCAGAAGTAGTTTTAATTTTTTCTTGTTTTGTGCATGATTTATTATGTGTTTATGTAGTGTTTTCTTTGTGCAGCTGATTACATAAGGTTTATCAGTGTGTTATATTGAACCCGCTCAGTACAGTTATTTGATCCCTACATAAATATATCCTGCCCCCCCTCACACATACAATCAAATCTAACATGAAAACCTGTAAGCAATAAAATTCTAGATTCTATTCAATTTGCATCTTTTAATAATGTTCTTTTATATTCTATATATTTTGTTTGCACTTGGAAAAACTATAAAACCAAATTTTATTTGTTTGAAGTGATGTTTGGATTTATCTCTTATATTAAAAGTAAACAAAAAATCTTAAAATTACTTTTGCTAATATTCTCTTTAGAAAAAACTTTTTGCTTTTTTTCATTGCAGATATGTGGTACTGGACTTCCCTATGATAAACTTGGTGAACTTAGGCAACGTCTTTATGAAGTTTCTCCAAATTTGGTTTATTATGGAGAAGCTGAAGATGCGAACTTCTTTAAAGAAGCTCATGAACTTTCAAGTGTGAGTAAAAAATCTTTTCTTTTTTTTTATTCTTCAAAGTAGTTTATTCTTTACTTGTTAAATTTCATTTTAGAAATAAATATTCTTCATATTGTTACCCCAGATAATGTTCTCCTCCAGCAATATCAGTAATGTAAATGAAATTATTTGTATTAATTATAAATCTAGAATCAGATATTATTTCTTCCAGTATTAGTTTTGCTGAGGTTTACTCTCAATATCATTAGCTTTTTTAAAAACAAACATCCATTGTTTACAGATACAAAGTAAATTTAGGATTTAATTTGTTTTCTTTTGAATTTCAGTTAGTCAAATCAGAGCTGTTAGATCAGCCTCTGAAGCCACACCAGTCTCAACTCAGTGAGTTCTACATGACCAATTCTGTAACTCGTGCCTCCCAAACTATGGCCAAATGTGTTAAAGCCACTTCAGAATCTACTGCATAATAATATCTACAGGCATTAAATATAATAAAGATCAATTGGCACCACCAATTTTTTTCTGTTTTTACACCAAGGATTGTCATAGAACTAGACCAACATGATAGAAAAGCTACTTTTTTTTTTTTTTTTTTCATTGGTTACTGGTTTTCTATTTCCTGAATTAAAGAAATAAACACAATTCTAAAACTCATTTTTATCTTTGAATTTTTACCATGACTAACATTGTGAATTTAATTGACATATCTATTAATTGATATATCTATTAACTACAATAAATTTTGCCTCTATTCTAGCTCAAACTGCATGACCAGTTCCTCTCCTCTTCCTCCTTAATATTTTAATTTAAACTACCTCTTAAATAATTTGATTTCATTATCAGCACATTTGTAATGATTCCATTCTTCTATGAAAGTAATGAGAAGAGAAATCATTGACTCAGTAATCATTATGATATTTGGAAAATAAAATTCTTTGTATTCTTGGGAAGATCAGCTTTATTTTCTTCCAGATTACTTAATATTTGACCTTTTTTTTTTTTTTCTTTTTTTTGTTTAACAGAAATGATATCTTAATTTTTTGGAAATTAGACTGTAGAAATAAATCCTCAAAATGTAGAGAAGTATATAAAAAATGTTGGAAGTGAACTTGTCTCTCATCCTGACCTGCCTTCCATGTTTGGTTGTGTATCATTCTGTTTAGTCTCCCAGTTCTATCAGAAAGTAGATCTAAGTTTTCACTTTTCATAGCTTCATGTACAGTTTTTGTATGACACTTGAGTATTTTCCTTTCTGAATTGGGTAAATTCTGAAAACTACACGTCTTATTTGTTATGGCATCCTCAGAGATTTTGGGGAAATTCAAGTTGATATTTCAAAGACATTGCTAGGCCTTGAATGACACAAGATTGAAAGTTTTTAAACAGTTACAGACTAGATCAGTTCAAAACTTGAAGGACCTGTAGAAGTGAATAAAAACAAGAAAAATATCCTAAATGGTCATTCAGATCACCTATAGTTTCTCCAATTCTGTTCAGGTAAACTGGCATTTGACTGTATCTGTACCATCCTTGTTTGTAGTATTTCATTGTGAACTGAGTTTTAGTAACTTGAAGTGAACTTAATTGGCCATTGATAATTCCACACAATGCACATAATAATTTCATGGCAAGAGATAGTCAAAGTTTTCTATTCATTTTTCTTTCTTTTAGTTTTTTTTTTCTTTTAATCATTTCACTCCAAGCAAAGCAATAATCTAAGATGCAATGGGTTACTATGTGTGATAGAATATGAGGAAAAAAAGCTATTAAGGAGAGAGAATAGAAGAATAGGAATTAAGAAGACAAAATAATTCCCATGTGAGAGAAAAAACTATGAGAATAGAATGAAGGTTGCATCTAGCCGTTTCAACTGTAAAATGATGAGATGTTGCCACCAATCTGGTACTTCATGTCAGTGGAAAATATTAGCCTGAGAAGGCACAATAAGTTACTCTTGGACATTAGTATCAGCCATACTGATGGAAGGCAAAGAAAGGTTCTTTCAGGCAATTAAAGTTTTGTTTCAGAGGTGTTAACAAGCCATTCCTTGCTTTAGTTAACAACAGATTGTAGGTCATTTCTTTTAGATCAGCTGCCAATTTGACATTGAACCAATCAGACAGGAGTAAATAGTGGTATCATCAGCATAGACACCAAGTGATGTCAGGAAGGTCATTGATGAAAATTAGGAACAATGTAGATCCAAGGGGATGCTTGCATTTAATACAAAAAAATCTAGAAGAGTGGCCATTCAGGATAACTTTCATTTCGCAATTTGATAAGAAAGTCTGAATTAGTTCAGATTCTTTCAGAAATACCGTAACTTTTCAACTTGTAAAGAAAACCAGTATGTCAAACCCTGTCAAATGCCTTTGGGCTATCCAAAGCAAGAGTCCAAGCTTCACCATCCTTAATAAACGTTTTCAGCAACAAGTTCATTAGTTGACTTAGAGAGGTGAAAGTCATTGCTTATCTGAAAGATGATCCTACACAATGGAATGCTTACGCAATTATTAGAGCCTCTAGTATGTTGCCAAAAAGTGGTAGAAGAATAATAATAGCCTGATAGAAAGATCAAAAGGTTCACCTGAGTTCTTAAAGATTGGAACGATAGAAGAGGATTTCTAACAAGCAGCAAGGCATTTATTGTAGCATTTAGAAAGAACAGGAGACAGTTCATGAGTATGTTAAAGACTATTGCAAAGATATCAAGTCCACATGCTCTGTGGGGATTCAGTTTAAGTGGAAAGTCTGGCAAAGATACTCTAGATGAGTCAAGAGTAGAATTTGGAGAGAATTTACAAGTAATTTAAACATTATTTAACACTATTACAGAGCCACCAGTAGTTAGGAGAACCAAACTTGTTAAAGGCTATATGGTGCCTCATTTTATCAGCAAACAAAAACTTAGCCTAATTGGAACTATCACTTGGATACACCCGGAAACAAGAAGATAGTGGTTTCACCTAGTATTTCTGAGAAGGTACAAATGTATCAATGCTGGCTTTAACTGAACTGTGGTACAATTTTCAATAAGACGCTTAAGAATATCAATCCAAAGGATGTCTTGAAGAAAGTCACAAAATGAATCTCAGTCCTTATGCTGGTAACAGAAAGAGGTCTTGTGAATAGGAGGTTCTTTTCTAAAAGATGATTCAAAAGAATATCCAGAGATACTACAATATGATCCAAATTACAAGAGGACAGAGAAGAGGAGGTAAAGAAGAATGTTGATAGATTTATTAAGGAAATGAGTAGGGAAGTTCACTATTTGACTGAGCAATGGAAAAATAGTATGAATACTGGCAACAGCAGTAACATTAGAATACTTAAGTCATTAAAATCACCAAACACAAAAATGTTTGCAGATGAATGTAGAGAGAGCTATTTCTATATTGTCAGAAATTTTGTCTGATATATGGTCCCAAATATATGTCCCAAAATGATCTAGTTTACACTGCAGTGTAAACTAGATCATTTTATCCAAATAATGAAATTTTCTTCAATTTCAACTGCTGATATCTCATTTATTTTACAGGCTATTTTAATAAAATTAGTATGTAAACAAAATTTAATATTTTCTCTTTATAAAGATACAATTCTTTCCTCTGTGTGATTATTATTTTTTATTCTATATCTCTAAGTGTCACTATTTGAATGATGGGCACTTGTTTTCAAAGCTAACAATTTCATAGTGGTTTTTTTTAAAACTTGTGGCATTTCAAGTTGTATCTCCCTTATTCGGTTGAGCTAGCTCCCAACCCTCAGTCTTGCATCAAGGTCAGAAGGTCATTAGGGTGGCATTCTGTTATAATATAGATGGTCAATGTAAGTGGGTGCTAGGCAACCAACCCGTCTGACAATATCGCTAGTTGTCCAGAGCAGGAGATCACACAAGTTCTTGTTTTGCTCACCAACAGTGTCCTGCAAATCTCATTCTGTGTTCATGTAAGATTGTAGAAATATTGGGGAAGGACCTATAGAGCTGTAATTTAGTTGGATGTTGTCTCTAAGAGATGTTAAGTATAGCTCTCAGTATACAAGTGTAGGTTGCATCAAGCTTAGAGTTTTAGTTAATGCCCAAGCAGTGGCATCATACATTAAAACCAATGCTACAGTGGTTGTCTGGTAGATCAGATTTCTAAATTACATCCATTTTATTCAGGGTAGCCCAGGCAAATTTTCACATCTTTTTCAGTAGAATTTATTTTGCTTCCTAGGTATGTAAAATGTTCAACAGATTTTATTGATTCACCTGAAACAGTCTGTATTGAGTTGTTGGTTGAAGCTTATGAATTCAGTTTTAGAGGCATCATTAGCAGCATTTTCTAGATGTAGAACTGTAACATTGTTAATGGTGTCATCTGCATAATCAATCAATATCAGTCAACTTTTTAGCAGGATATTGAATGGAATGTTTTGGTGATAAAGTAAAACCTTATTTTTCCCATATTTTCATTAATGATGATGCATTTTAAAACTATGAAGTCCTTATTGTATTTTGTCTTGGCTGTTGTTTTGATGCATTTTATTAAAAATAATTCATAAAAAATAAATATAAACTGAATATATTCTTAGTTAAATTTCATACTCATGTTTAACTGTAAAAAATCAAATTTTAAAATGTGTTCAGTTTTCTGAAATTTACTTACATTTTCTTTCAAAAAAATGAAATTGGATACATTTTATAAAAATGAATCGGATATGTTTTAGCTTAATTTTCAAAATGTAATTAATTTTTTTTTTTTTTTTTACTGAGTGTTACAAAATATGAGAAAAAAACTATGAACATGTAGAGATGAACATACCTCTCCAGAAGAGGACTTGGATTCATCCAAATGCATATAGATTGATGCCAAGAATCATCAGTGGGATTAAGAAGACAAAAGATTGACATTGATCTTCAAAAATTTAAATGCAAAGTTGACTAGGAAGCAGGAAGTTGGAAGCGAGTACCACAAACCAAAAGAAATTGTTAGCATAACACTATTCACCCAAGATGCTATTATTACAGAAAAGAAATGACCAAGGATTTCCTAAATAGTAACATTAAACTTTGAATTAATTGAGTGTTATCTATATAAACTCAGCCCTACATGAGACTTGCTCTGGGTTGCATCATGGATCACTATCACCTCACAAGAACACGCCTGCTTTTGTGGCCAGAGTGTACAATTTCTCCTCCACCAAATTTTATTTAAAAGTTCTTCAATACTTTAAACTTCTTCAATTTAATTTTTCATCACATTGAGATGTTCAGTTTCATTTATTATTTAGCACATATAATGTTTTACATCATTTTCACATTATACAGCAACAGTAAAATTTTAAACTGTGAAAATCTTTTATAATAGCTTTAAATTTTCATCTGTCATAATAATTTTATTCCAGAGTTGTTAAATTTTGTTCACATCAATTACACAAACCAATCATTTTTCCATGTCATTCTGTTTCAATGATGACAAGA